AAAGGACATATTAGTAAGTGCATGGACCACAGTACAACTAAAAAGTAAAAAGTTAACTGCTAAGGCAGCATAGAATAAGAGAGGTGAAGTCAGTCAGGGAGAGCTCACTCAGAAGATATAAAGGAAGCTAGGCTTCGAAGGGAGTGATGACCATGAACTGTGGTCAAAGAGCAATCTAAAGCAAAAGGAAGTGCATGAGAAAGGCACCGAGGCTAGGACTTGTAAGACACAGTGGAAGGAAGTTTGGACATGATGAAGCAGTGACAATACTAGAGTGTGATGAGTGCTGAGGCAGATTAAGCAATGCAAGGAAGTCGATGGTGAATCTGGAATACCACTGTTCTGACAGGAATCATCTGTTAGGCAGTCTTGAGAGAGAATGTGACATCATAATAATGAAGTTTGAGGAGGATCATGTTGGAAGTTGTATGCAAGATGGGGATCCTGAGAGTGAGGAACTGGACAGAATTACAGTAACATGGTTGGATCTCAGCTGATGGAGACGTGTATGGAAGGCAACAAGGTGATGGGACAAATGACAAAATCCAGCCTCAAAAAGAATGACTAAGAATTATAACCACTTAGCAACAGTTTGGATATGGGAAGTAGAAGGCACAAAAAGATTAAAAGACTACTCCTAGACTGGAATAATTCATATTCAGGGCAAAGAAGTTAAACAATGATGCCTATTTAAAAGGAACATGGGACTTGAGGAAGAATCCTGAAGAGTCCATTTTTTTCAAATACCAAGTTGTGTAAGTACCTATGGAAAATTATACAGGTTCCAAGTTAAACCCTAAGGAGGGAAATATTGTTATACAAATACAGAAGTTAAACATAATTAGTTAAAATGATAAGTAAGAGTACAGAAAAAGTAGTGAATAAAATTAAGATTATTCTGTGGGGAAGAAGAGAAAAAGGATCAACAAAGAAATAGGAGAAATGGAGAAAAGAACTTTATTAAACAGGGATCCCACTACTCAAAAGGCGTATTCCTGAGATGCTGGGGGAATTGAATAGTATGAAACATTTAGAGATCAAGAAAGACAGCATCTAGGAAAAGGCCTTAATATTTACCCATTGGCAAAAGTCTAAGGACATTTCAGTAGAATGCTTGTTTTGAACTCTAGTAAGGAAGTTCTAAGAACAGATTAATGAAGTTGAAAAATCAGGAATGATAGGAGAGAAACAGAATGGTAGTTAGAAATGGGCAAGGAGGCTAAAAAATAAGGTTTTAAAATATTTTATGCTGTAGATGAATTTAGTATTATCATCCAAACTGCTCATCTACTGCTCTGGTTCATAGATATTTCATTTCTACTTATAATTCCCCCTGGGCAGTTTAGAGAAAAAATATATTTAAATTCCACAAGTTATTGTTTTATCCTCCCAGTAACCCTTTTAAAGGGTCGCTATGACTCGACAGCAGTTAGCAACAACACTTTTAAACATGTTTTATTTGCAAAGTTTAGCTTTCTAGTACTAGCAGTGGAGTTCTAGTGTGGCACTGTAGGATAAACACTAGACAGTTAACCACACGTTTGGTGGTTCAAGTTCACAAGCCACTCCTCAGAAACTCTACGCCAGGTCGCCATGAATTGGAACCGACTCAACCTCATTTAACAACAGTACTATCAATAGGAGTCCTAGTGGCCCAGTGGGTTAAGTATTGGAGTGCTAACTGAAAGGTTGGTAATTTGAACCCACTAGCTGTTCTGTGAGAGAAATATGAGGCAGTCTGCTCCCATAAAGATTTGCAATCTTGGAAACCCTAGGGAGTTCTCTGTCCTATAGAGTTGCGATAGTTGGAATGGACTCAATGGCATGACTAGTTTATTTTTTTTCAGTACTACCAAAACATAAAAAGTATCAGTATTTACAGATGATACAGTTACAATCCCAAATGGCATTTTTCAACCAAGTTTTCCATAATTCTAATGGATTTGCTCTTCGCAAGTACCGCTTATGACCAGGGAAATGTAATTTTAAAATAACTGGCCAGAGTTAGAGAGTTTGTAGGGATAGTATAGCACGGTGATCAGCACAGACTCTACAAACAGACTGTGTAGGTTAGAATCCCAGCTCTATCATTTACCAGCTGTGTGAGCAACTCAGTTCTCTAAGCCTCAGTTTCCTTATCCATAAAATGAGAGTAACAATAATATTCATCCCAAGCATGAAAAATGGTTAACATAGGGCTTGGCATAGAGTAAGTGCTCAGTAAATGTTAACTGCTATCTGGAGATTCAGAACCAGAAGCCAAACTATCTGCTCTGTATGGGAATTAACTACCATAGTCTAGCACTGCCACATGGATATAATTTTTGAAACCTAAAACACCTTTTCTAGGACTGTACCATATGGTCAGAGTTATGGAAGAATCACCTTATCATACCAGGTCCTAAAACAAGAAACTGAGCGATAAAGTACTGATGAGTAGTTAATTTCAGATTAGGAGTTTTAAAAAACAATAACTGCAGGTCAAAGGAGCTTAATTTATACACGTTCAGGTAAAATAAAGCTTGAGCATTTAGGAGCTCAAAATAAGATCTCATTAATGCTATTCTAATGCTGAGTGGGTACCAGGGACCATGAAAAACCCTGTATGTATGCTCTGAAAGAAACCAGCCGTTTTCTACTGTCTTACACCACTTGTTCATTTCTATAGATGTGCTGAATAGCCCTTGACAGGTCTTTCAAGTCATAGTCTTTTCTAACACTCATCTCAAAATAACACTAATTTTTTCTGGTCATATTCTTGACTTGCGCTTTGCTGAATTTCTGCCAGAATCTTGATAATTTTGAAATTTAAATAATCCGACTACATTTTATTCTGGGAACTGATCTCAAAGAGTCATGAGCTGATACATCTATATCACTCAGTGTTGCTCTGCTAAAAGAACTGTTATTGAAATCGAAGACAACTATTCCTCTAAAGTATGCTGTGCATGTGTATATGGATGTGCACATGCACAAGTTTTCTCCCTCTGACAAGGTACCCATCTGATGGAATATTTGCAAAAGAGGTGGCACTAGGTCCCAGGCAGAAGAGATTTTACAGAGGGTAAGGCACAACTGAAGCCGGACAAAGATATAGAGACAACAGTATTTATTTGTTTCTGGTTTTTTGAAATTTAAAGTACATTGGAATTAGAAATGGTACTCTATGGTAAAAAAAAAAAAAAAAAAAAAATCAGTAAGAAGAAATTAAAGGATAATGAAAAGAAGTATTTTGAAAAAGTTAACCAAGGCTTCCAAGTCACAGCTGGGTAGCAATAGCATAATCAAACAGATGCAGTTAACTTGGAAGTTCATCTTCATGGTCAAGATGGGGATGAGAAGGAATGTTTTAGGGACAGACTTTATGATCCAAATTGTGGACCTTTCTGGTGTTAGATTTTTAACTGAGTTTTAAAAACACCAACCGTAAGCAGCATGATGAATAAGTGCTGTCCCTTAAAGTCACAGTGTAAAATTGAGTTACTTTTCTTGGAGTTATCTTCAAATTCTTATCATATTTTTTGGGAATATACTTAATGGAATCAACTTCAATTCTAAGAGCCGACTTGATTTTTAAAGTAGCCCAAAACTACTCAATTCAAAGTTGGGTGAATAAAATGGGTAATCAAGCAATAAAAAATGAGCTGTGTCTCAGAAGTGAATCACTGCTTTTCTTGTTTGGTTTACAAAACGAGGCATTCTGGCAGTGTTCTAAATGAACAGTACTAGCTCGACCTGCCCAATTTTAAAGGGCAACTCAGGTTTGGATGCATAGTTGTGGTGTATTACTTGAAAACAGCCTCATCCTTGTTATACTGGAAGTCTCAAAGATGAATACTCCTACAGTGCCTGGTGATGATGAGATTCAGACTGTATCTCTGCTGGTAAGTGACAGACACAGGAGTTCACCAGAATTCAGAATGAGGAGAGGTCAGGTGAGATTATTTCTGTGGCTAATACAGTTCTAAAAGTAATATCAAGAAACACAAAAGAGAATGATTAATGAAAGACTAGTACTGTCACAGAACATTCTTTGTGGATTTTAATGTCTTTTTAAAAACACCTGTGTCTCCTCTTTCTCCCAGGTGACGCCATAAACAGGATGGTGCAAATATCTATTTGTACTGTGGTTTATAGTGAGGAGGAGAAAAGGAGAGTCAGAAGTCACCAAAAGGTACAACTAACTATCCAAGCTCAAGAGTAGCTAGGCTGAGTCTCCACTCACCTCTTTGTATCACTCGCACACCCATCGCTAATGCATCCACTTCCTTTGCTGACACAGGTACAGGGCTGGGGGTGGTGAAGGACATGGATGTTCAATAACTCAGTGAAGTCAGTGAAGGTGATATATGGAAAAAAATGTTGGAGTGCTGTTAAAAATATAGCATTCTGAGTTTGCATGGGAATATGGATTTTCACCGATTAAAAGGAACATCAGAATAAAATAAAATGCACACTTAAGCATAAATGTCTGTAAAAATTTCTCTAAAACTAGGATCTTAGAAAGCTAAATACAAATATAAGTCTCACATAAAGGCTGCTTAGAGTGCTAGAGAAGTCTTAGATCAGAGTAGGGACACCTTCAGAGAAGTACATGGGAGAAGAGGATCACAAAGGATGCAAAGAAGCAGAGGAATTAGGAGGAGCAGCCTCTCCCAAGCCTACAGCTACTCATCCAGAAGATAAAGTTAAGTGCCTTGAGCCAGAGCAAGCAGCTAATGCTATATTAGATTTCTAAAGGATACATTAGGCCACGATAGGAGCTGCACTCTTCATACACCTCTCAACACGGTTAACCCAATCAACCTGCACCAAGGCACTGGCCCAAACTACTGAAAGGCTATTCTAACTTTACCACCAGCATCAATTCTGACACTAGATACAGTTGCCACGGGACAAACTTTCTGCCTTTTCACCACATAAAATGACAGAGAAAGACCTGTCACTGACATGTGGTATCTCCAGTACTGAATAATGTTTCACTATGACTGAAGCTTTTGCTAAATTCCTATGGATTCAGACTTTTCTGCACTGTGGATTCTCTGATGTCGAATGAGACTTGACCTTTGAATAAAGGCTTTCCCGCACTCATTACATTGATAGGGTTTCTCGCCCGTGTGGATTCTCAGATGTTGAATGAGGCCAGTGTTCCCATTGAAAGCTTTCCCACATTCTTTACATTTATAGGGTCTTTCTCCAGTGTGGATTCTCTGATGTTCAATAAGGCCTGACTTCTGACTGAAGGCTCTCCCACATTCACTGCATTTGTAGGGTTTTTCCCCAGTATGACTTCTCTGATGGCCAATAAGATGTGAGCTCCGCCTGAATGTTTTCCCACATTCATCACACTCATAGGGCTTCTCCCCAGTGTGAATCCTCTGATGTCCAATGAGGTGTGAGCTATGACTGAAAGCTTTCCCACACTCGTTACATTCATAGGGTCTCTCCCCACTGTGGATCCTCTGGTGTAGAATAAGGCCCGCACTCTGGGTGAAAGCCTTCCCACACTGGTTGCACTGATATGGCTTCTCCCCAGTATGGATTCTCTGATGCAGGATCAGGCCTGTGTTCTGACTGAAGGCTTTGCCACACTCTTTACAGTGATAGCGTTTCACTTTGTTGTGGATATCCTGATGGGAAAGGAGGGCTGACCTGTAACTGAAGGCTTTACCACATACATTACACTGGTAAGGTTTCTCCCCAGTGTGGATTCTCCAGTGTCGGACAAGGCCTGAGCTCTGAGCAAAGCTCTTCCCACATTCATCGCATTTATGTCGTCTCTCTTGTGTGGGATTTACCCGGTGCCTTTCTAATTTGCCCAGAAGGTCTTGGGCTTCTCCATGCTCAAGACCTCCGATTACATCCCCATTGCATTTGGCAGCTGTCTCTCCATGTGGTTGAATTCCAGCAGATATTACCTGTTTTGAAGCTAATTCCCTGTTCTCACTTCTGGTCTCACTCCCTGAAACAAAAATGCAATAAAATAAAGAACAAGTCAATGTTATTTCCTATTCTTATGCTAGGAGAAAAATGTCAAAAACAAGAGAGAAAGAAGTATAATATAAAGTGAACATAAAGTTTACACGATGGAGTTTCAAAAAGTTCGTGGAAAAATGAAATGAAAAGATTATGAAAGTTTTCCATGGACTTTTTTGAAGCCCCATCAAATGTCTCTAAACCTGTTCCATAATATAGGGAAGTATGAGCAGGTCAAGTAGTATACCAGGAAAATGGAGGAAGAGGTGCCATGAGAAAAACCAGGGCGACCGGAAGGACACTAAAGTAAAACTCAGAGCACTGGAGAGATGTCAATTTCCAACTGGCAAACAGATCACTACCCAGTTCAAAGTTGTAAGGTAAGTCCTGAAGACTGAAGAAAACAAACTTTCAGTTTAGACCTAAAGAACATTCAACCTTGTGCCCCTTTGCTGGATCTTGACTTTAAATTCAACCAAGTCTTTCAGAAAGCCCACAACTACCTAAACACATAAAAAATGAAACATACAAACAAGCAACATTGGTACTCACCAGCGCTCTCCTTACCCAGGGAGAACATGTTTCTGTCCTTCTGTGATGGATCAAGAAGCCACTCCTCTCGGATAAGGGATACAGCCATGTCTTCAATCTTCTCCAAAGTCTGAAACAAAACAAGATTCCCATGTCGGGACTGGGCCTGTTCACAAACCCAGAGAATCAGAGAGATCCACCAGTTCTAGAATAGGTTCCAGAGGAGAAAGCATATAGTGTAAATGGATCTGAGTGGATGGAAAGAAGAGGAAATTCTACCAGATTTATTAGAAAATCAACTATCAACCAGTCTTTATGCAAAAGAATTTGGGGCAGTTCTTAAGGCTGAGTTCTGCTATAGATAGTCTGGAGAAAGGGCAGACAAACATTGGCAAACATAACTATGAGGTTTCAGTGAGGCAGAACACAACTCACCTGGAAGCCTGCAGTGAGAAGGGCAGTTGCCATCTCCTGGTCTCCAGAGTTTCCTTTCTGGGAAGGGGTAGGACTCTTAGAAGTACACGTGGCTGCGAGAGGACAAAGAAGCTATGAATGAGACCAGCCCTATCCTCCTGTGGCTGTGGAAGCCAGCACCAATCCATTCCAAAACTGCCAGTATTTTAGCAGTTATGCATGCCAGAGATTTTGTGTATGAAGTACTGACACCTTGGGCTCTGTGCCAAAAGGCTGTCCACAAAACATCTCAATTTAAGTCTTGCCCAGTCTGAAGTTAAGCCTCAAAATAGAAAGTGTCCTAACAAGAGCTTCTTTCCAATTTTTTCACTAACACTCAAAGTATTTATATATTTGTGCACTGTATTTTTTTAGATTTTTATAGCTTAGCAAACTGAATATGAGAACAGTCTATCTCTATTAATTTCTTTTTGAAATGTTTACTTTAGCTGGTAACATTTATTTCCTATACATACTAGACATCTTATAACCACAATCAACACAGACTACTGTGTTTCAGGCACCAAGCTTAAGACAAAAACCGTATTATCAATTGATAATACTTCAATGCTTATTTTTAGAAATATTTTTTAAAAACCATTTATATAAAATAGACTACTATAAACTGCATAAGTAAAAAAATACCAAATGCAGTACAAAAATAGATGGGAACATCTTGTTCTGCGAGAAAGTAAGGAAATTTTGAAAAAATGATGGGGACATGTCAAAAGGATACAGGAGACAGACTGAGGGACTTCCTCTGGCCAAATCTGAAACAATTTAAGCATCAAAATAAATAACATAATATTTATAAAATAAAAAAATTAAATGATGGGTCCATACTAATAAAATAGAGGAAAAGGGAATCACTGCCTTATATTGAAAAAACAAACAAACAAAACACTGATACATGAGGGGACGTCAAAAAGTTTGTGGAAACATTCCATTTTTCTTTAAGCTTTTGAAGCCCCCTCACACAGAAGGCATGACCATCAATTTCTAACCATCTTAACGGGTAAAGATCACTGGATCAATCAAGAAACTCAATGGATGCTAAAACGAGTGCTTTAACCACAGTTTGATGAGGACCAGTATTATTAACATATACTCTACAGAATGTCACAAATCACTATCAACTAAAAAGAAAAACAATAACTTTATAAGAATTAACCAAACAAAACTAACTTTAACCATGTGATAAATTCCTCTTATGCCCGGAGGACACAGCATTACTTCTAGGGTGTTCCTGTGCAAAACAACCTGAAGCTAAACATGAGGAAATAGCAGCTAAGCCCAAGTTGAAGGGTACTCTACAAAATAACTGGCTTGTGCTTTAAAAATCATGAAGGACAGAGAAAAAAGAAATGAAAGGGAACTAAAGAAACATGAGTCCTGGTGTGGTGCTGTGAATTAATGTGCTGGACTGCAAGGTTGGTTTGAACTGCAAGGTTGGTGGTTCAAGCTCACCAACCACTCCTTAGAAACTCTATACAGGGTCGCTATGAGACAGAACCAACTCAACAACACTTAACAACAAAGAACTATGACAATTAATTGCAATGTGTGATCTTCAATTAGACTATCGGCTAGAAAGAACACTGGGACAACTGGCAAAACGAGTATGGACTGTGGTCTAGATAGCAGGATTCTATCAACGCTACATTTCCTAAATGTTATGAAATTTATTGATAGTGCCCCGATTTCAGGAACCACATATTGAAATGTTTACAGATACAATGGTATGATGACACCAGGAAAACCTCGAAAAAGCCTGCTGTAAATACACTGCAGTGACAGAAATATATGAATACAGAAAAATCCCCAAATTCTTTAATCTTTTTATCACTGGGACTGAGTCTGTATTTGGTGCCTATGTTGTTAAGTGCCATCGAGTTAGTTCTGACCCATAGCGACCCTGTATAGGGTTTCCTATGAGCAGCTGGTGAACTTGAACCGCCAACCTTGCAGTTCAAGCGGCTTTGCAGTCTGGTGCATTAACCCACAGCGCCACACCAGGAGTCCATATAAACATTTAATTCTGGATCTTGAGATTGGTATTAAATACTCATTCTGCTTCCTTATTCTCTAGGAACTAGACAGGCATACCAATTGTACTTTCTTTCCTTTGCACCTCTTCCCCTCATCACCAATGATATCTGGCTCCTCACCTCTCTCTTGTGGCCCTTGGGGGACTGGAGATTTGCGCTGGGTTGCCACAGGTTGGAGCTCAGTACTTGGAGGCTCTGGTGCAGATTCAGAATGCACCACCTCCTTCCAGAGTACCCTGTGTCCATGTGCACGAGTTGGGACCTGGAAACAATGGGATTATAAGGGAATCCCTTTGAGATGTAGTGAAAGATACAAGAAAAAACCAAGAATATATCTACAGTGACACATTAGAGGAAAAGGAAAAAGAGAATCTCATTTATTTCCTAGAGATAGTAGGGAACATAGGCATGAAGAGTAGAACATAAAAGCATTGTTTCTGCTCAATAGGAAAAGAAGTCATTTCTGTTGATGCCCTCTCTGTTGCATGGAACACCAATACTTTGTGCTCCCAAAGTAGAGAGAATGACAAACAAACTTAAACTAGTGCTGATCTGTAGAAAAAACTTTTAATAAGGAACCCAAGTTCTGGTCTTGGATCTATTAGATGCTTCTGAGGAAATAATTTAAGCTCCCTATGAACTGGTTTCCCACCTGGGACATGGGAATAATACAGTTGTAGAGAAGTTATGCAGGAGTGCTAATGGCACTATAGAATAACCACAAGGTCAGCAGGTCAAACCCACCAGCCACTCCTCAGGAGAAGGATGAGACTTTCTGCTCCTGTCAAGATTTGCAGCCTCAGAAACCCTATACAGGGTCCCAAGAGTCAGAACTAATTTGACTGCACCTAACAACAACAGGAAAGCTGTGAGGAAAAAAGACACATTTATATTCTTTAACCCCCAAAAAACAAAAACAAGAGAACAAACAAAACTAATGCTCTAGAAAACACAGGTCATACCATACCATAACTGTGACTATTTTTGTCCTCATCCAATAGAAACCAGTGATCAGCATTTATTCTCTGTGATGCTGTTGTCCCTCCACCCACTTCCAGGATTCTCATAGTTGTAGCATGCACACCTCCTTCTACTTACAGGTCGTCCTAGTATATCAATCTGCCTTTCCAAATCCTCCAATAGGGTCACCACCTCCTCTCCGCTCTCTAGCTGATGTTCCTTAACCAGAGTCTGGAGCTCCTTGGGCAGGATGGTCAAGAACTGTTCCAGCACCAGCAGTTCTAGGATCTGCTCCTTAGTGTTCATATCTGGCCTCAACCACTGATGGCAAAGTGCCCGAAGTTGGATCAGAGCTTCTCGTGGTCCGACTGTCTCCTGGTAGCATAACTGCCTGAAGCGCATACGGAATAGCTCTTGACCAGGAGAATTATTATCTTGCAGATTAGATTCCTGATCCCAACCATGATCGTCCTCTACCTTGACAATTACAAGGTCCTCTTCAGGAGCCTGGTCAGGTGGGGACGGGGCTGAAGGCTTTCTTGATTCTGTAGCCATTTAAGGCCAGAAAAGCTCAGGATGCTTGTTTCTACTATCTTCTTTATCTCTTAAGAGAAGAATGATCCAGGGGTGCTTCTGAGAAATAAGAAAATAACAAACAATATTTATTAAGGCAAGTTAAAGGTTATGGTAATTTATCAAGATATCTGAACAAGCTCCCTACAATGGCATGAACAGCATGGTTCGGTCATTTAAAAGATCCTCACCACTGCATCCTAGAAATGATTCCTTACTTCTTTAACCTTCTACCACATCAAACCCACCCAAGGTATAAATCTTCTGTTTTCTCTATTTGGGTATGTGGAACATGACTAAATCAAATCAAATCAGACATGAGCAAATCATGTACACTGGGTCGACTTCAAATTCCATGTTTTACTTCAGCTGGTCTTCAGTGCTGTTCACTGATTCCTTTGAATTTCCTACCCCAGTTGTATTATACTGTTTTCAGACAGCTTAGCTCTCAAACGTTCCCTCACTCTTAGCACGTGAGACCAACATCCATGTAGTTCAAGGGAGTCCTTGTGTGGTGCTGTAGAGTAAGCACTGAACTGCAAGGTCTGTTTGAACTGCACAGTCAGTGGTTCAAATTCAACAGCTGTTCCTTGGGAACCCTATTATTAAGTGTTATCGCGTCTGTTCTGACTCATAGCAACCTTGTATAGGGTTGCTGAGGCGTGGCTGGTGAGTTTGAAACGCCAGTGTTGTGGTTCAAACCAACCTTGAGGTCCATTGCTTATCCTATGGTGCCACACCAGGACTCCTGGAAACCCTATACAGGACACATAGTTCAAGGAGTCCTGGTATGACACTGTAGTATAAGCACTGGACTGCTAACCACAAGGTTGCAGTTCAGTTCCTCAGAACCCCTATACAGGGTCACTATGAGTGGGAATCTACTCAATGGCACTTAACAACAAATACAACTTAAAGTATTCACTGAATAAAAGCTATCTGAATATGTTCCTTTTCTATATCTCATAGGAACTGGGCAGAGCTAACTGTTAAGCACTGGCTATTTAACTGAAAGATTGGCGGTTCAAACCTGCCCAGAGGTGCTTCAAATGAAAGGTCCAGGAATCTGCTTCAGAACAGTCACAGCCCTGAAAACAGTATGGAGCACAGTTCTGCTCTACAACACATGAGGTTGCCCTGACTTAGAACTGACAGATGGCAACTGGTTATCAGTCCTTATGTGACCTGTGTTCCCATTTTCCCTCCTGACTCAAGGCTAACTTCTTGTATTGTGGACCTTAGCTCCAGCTCTAAAACTCTACTTCTGCATTTGCAAGGAACTTGAATGGACCTGCCAATGAGTACAACCCCAAAATCGAATCTTTTCAATACAAATAAAGCAACTATAAACATCTGAATGAGTTTTTAATGTGAACATTAAGTTTTCATTTTACTTAGGCAACTACCAAGAACTGCTGGTCTTATGTTAAGTGTAATTGGATAAAAACTGCCAAAAGGTTTTCCTTTGAAATGACTGTACCACTTCGCATTCCAGTGGCAATGTAAAGAAAATTGTGGTTGCTCCACATCTTGTCCGACACTTGGTGTTGTCAGGCTTACTGCTTACCACAGGGTTAGAGGTTCAAACCCACCAGCAGTTCCTTGGAAACACTATACAGTGTTGCTATGAGTTAGAGCCCACTCAACAACACTTAACAACAATGGGTGTATATAATGTGACTATGGTTTAAAGTCACATTTCCCTAATAATAATGTTGAGCATCTTTTCAAATGCTTATTTGCCATCTGTATCTCTTCTTTGGTGACATATCTGTTCAAAACATCTGCCTATTTAAAAATCGTTGTTATTGTTAAATGTTGTTCAGTCAGTTTCAACTCATAGCAACCCAATACAGGGTTTCTGAGAAGCAGCTGGTGAGGCTGAACCACCGATCTGTGGTTCAAACCGACCTTTGTCCTGTGCCTATCCTCCAGCACCACAAATTACGTTTATTACTATATTTTGAGAGTTCTTTATATATTCTAGATTGAAGTCCTTTATCAGAAAAATGATTTCCAAAGTGTTGTTTCCCAGTCCATAGCTTGTCTTTGCATTTCGTAACAGTGTCTTTCAAAAGCAGAAGTTCTTAATTTTTTCAAGTCTAATTTGTCAGCATTTTTAAGGATTATGCTTTTGGTGTCACATTTAAGAAATCTTTGCCTAATCCCAAATCACAAAGGATTTTTCTCCTAAAGGCTGTAGAGGTTAAGGTTTTACATTTAAGTCTATAATCTATTTTTGAGTTAATTTTTACCAAATGTCTAAGGTATGGATATTCATTTTGGGGGGGCATTTGGAGATCTGAATTATTGCAGCAATTTGCTAAAAAGATTACTCTTTCTCTATTCAATTGTCTTTGTAACTCTGTCAAAATTAATTGACCATATATATGTGGATCTATTTCTGTGATTTCTATTTTATTCCATTGACTTATATGTCCTTTCACCAGTGTGACAGTCTTGATGGTTGTTGCTTCTAAAGTCTTGAAATCAAGACTTTGTCCTCCAAACCGTTTTGGCTATGCTAGTTTTGCTTTCTTTCTTTCTTTTTTTAATTGGAGCAACAGATGTACAACAAAGCATTTGTAATTCTGCTGACTTTCTATTATAAATTTTATATAATTTCAATTTTATATAAATTTTGTCTTCAAAACTATTTTGGCTATGCTAGTCTTTTTTTTTTTTTTTTAAATTGGAGCAATATATATATATAACAAAGCATTTGTAATTTCATTCTGTTGACATTCTATATAAATTTTAGAATTGGCTTGTCCATTCCTACAAAAAAATTAGAAAATTGGATTTGTATAGAATCAATAGTTTGGGAACAAGTGACATCTTAGACAATGTTGTCTTCCATTCTATGAACATGGTATGTCTATTCATTTATTTAAGTCATCTATTTCTTTCATCAGTTTTCATTACCTATCCTTAAAGGACATGATAAAACACTGTCTCTTATAAAAGCCTTTCCTGAGTAATCCAACTGGAAGTGATTTCCTCCTTTCTCAATATCTTCGTCACATAACTGCATATTAATATTACCATAACTGTTTATTAGTTGTATAGGAATTGTAACTTCCTAACTTAATTGTATGTTCTTCTTGTATGGAGGTACATATTTTGAATCTTAATGATAGAAACAAAGAATGTTAGAAGGCTATATTTGTAATATTTAATAAAGTGTATTTTTTGAAAGAGGTTAAGAGTTCAATTTTCTGTTCTCATTTTTTTGTGGGCTATATTTTTATGGTTTTATCCTTGGTGGTAGACATCATCTGATGCCTGTTCTTCCAGTGGAACTGGTCTTCTTGCTCTTGGTTATGCATTTTCCCCATTCATGTTCCATAATGCTACCAGAGACTTTTCTAGCAAATATGTAAGGCCATCCTTCTATAGCCTTTCCTGAGAGCGGCTTTCTCACTCTTGCATTTGCTTGTAGAGTTCTTAACTCTAGATCAGTGGTTCTCAACTGATGGTGATTTCCTGCCCTCTCCCCCTTAGATATCTAATGTCTGAGACATTTCTGGTTGTTACAATGGGGAAAGTAGGTTGACTAGTTCTAGTGAGTAGAAGCCAAGGATGTTGATAAATACCCTATAATGCACATAACTCCCAACAGCAAAGAATTATCTGGCTCAAAGTGTCAATGCCAATGCTGATAAATCCTGGTCTACTTGAAAACATTCAACTCTAACTCAAAAGTCTCAGCTTACTTATTATCTCTTTCATGAGGTTTTCTGTTAGCCCCTAGTAGATTAAGGTACTTCTTCTTGCCAAAATATTTTATACATGGTTCAAATATATAGAACTGATCACATTGTAATGTTGTTAACTGTCATTGAGTTGATCTCTGACTCATGCACAATGGAATTAAATGCTCCCTAACCCTGGCACTGTGGGTTAATGTGCCAGACTGCAAATCCATTTGAACTGCAAGGTTGGCGGTTCAAGCTCATCAGCTGCTCCTCGAAAACCCTATACAGGGTCATTATGGGTCAGAACTGACTCAACAGCACTTAACAACAACCCTGCTGTTGTTAAGTGCTGTTGAATCAACTCTGACCCACAGCAACCCTGTATAGGGTTTCTGAGGAGCAGCTGGTAAGTTTGAACTGCTGATCTTGTGGTTCGAAGTCCACAGTTGATCCTACAGTGCCACACCAGGAGTACCATCCCCATAATTGGCTGTGGACCAAACTGTTATGATCCATAGGGTTTTCATTCACTTATATTGGGAAGTAGTTCAGTAGGACTTTTTTCTAGTCCTCCTTAGGATGAAAGTGCTGTTGAAAGCTGTTCAGCCACACAGGAACAACTGACAGCGGCTGCGCTGGGAGGACTGAACCACACTGCCTCTGCATTTCAAGGTGTAAAGTATAACAAAAACGTCTGCCTATGGCCATGGCCTCCTTGCAAATGTATTCTTGTGGCACTGATCTTCCTCTTTGTAACCCTTTTTATGTATGTTGTTGTTGTTGTGTGCTGTGGAGTCGGTTCCGACTCATAGCGACCCTGTACAGGGTTTCCGAGGCTGTAAATCTTTACAGGAGCAGAACGCCTCATCTTTCTCCCGCAGAACAGCTGGTAGTTTCAAACTGCTGACCTTGCGGCTCGCAGCCCGATTCGTAACCACTACGCTACCAGAGCTCCTTTACGTATAGAAGCCATTTAAATAGAACAATCACAATGGCAGCATTGTGGAGAACAGATTGGGTAAGTCATAACCAAAGGCTGCATCGGAGAGAATGAAGAAAAGCATAACCAATGGCTGCATAAAAGAGCTAGAGCAGACACAGGCTCTCAGAAAACGGAGACTATAGGTTATTCTTGACACGGACCTTCAGAGTACAGCTTTTTTTTTTTATCTTTCACAGTTTAGTTTGCTTGATTTTTTTGTGTGTGTGGGGGGGGAGTGGTTCATTAACTCTTCAATCTACAAGTACTTAAGTGTGGGGATTGCTTTCACTAAGTCTAGAATA